TACCCTTTAGTCTTTCACTGCTAAATTAGGGACGGCTAGAGCAGATAGCCCTCGTGTAGCTTTGCGCGAAATTCAAAATAAACAAACCAATATATTCTGGAATGAAATGGTAAATACAGTTAAATGTATTAGTAAATTACATCGTGAAAAAAATTTACTTAATGCTTCATACATAAGAACGATATAAAATAATGAATCACTTGCAAATTAAAATTCCCAAAAAATAAAGAGCCTGGCTCTAACATATATTTATATAAGAAAGTAAAATGGCGTTGTTGGTGTTCATTTAAAGACGAAACATGTTTTCTGGGCCAAACTAGGACATTTTTTTTTAATAGGACTCCCTTTTGTTATGCAGTGTGTATGTTTATAGTATAGTGTTTAAGTAATCAACTCTTACAGTTTTACCAGTTTGTCTTCTAAACAGTTTGCATATTTATTTGTTACCAGAAACGTGGAAATGAGCACCAGCGTCACCCTTATATGACCCCATTTACGATATCGAATTGTAATGTTTTGGTAAAAAAACAATATTAATGTAACGATCTAGATTGATTTTGCTCCTGGCACACACCAGCAGCTTTGAAAGATGTATTTGCTTGAAAACATATAGTTTAATAGTACAAACCCATCAATTTATGGCTGATTTATCTAAAAATTTATGACCGTATTGATTGCGATGTCTAGACCAAGAGACGAATTATAAAAGAGGACAGTAAGTGATCAAGATGTGGAAATACAGTTTTTTGTATTCATTACATAGGAACCTGTAGGTAGTGAGTTTATTGGGAGCAGGTAAGACGTTCATTTGTGCCAAGCTGCCATTCGAACTAAATAGTTGAATAACCATGACAACCTACTTGGGAGTTATTATTGACGAATGGTAAGATGAAAAGGTTGGGGGGGGGGGAAATAATATTCCAAATGTCTCAATACCGAAAATCGCGGAACCTTCGTGTATGTAAAATATAACAAGTTATGATTTACGTCCATTTTGAACGCCTCTTCTCATTATGACTCCACGCCAAGAGCTTTAAGGTGCATGATGTATAAAGACGTTCATAAATGTAGGCAACGATATCATCAGTTCGTGCTTTGTAGAACGAAATTTTTTTTTAATGAGAAATAACCACAAACCGAGAATATTTAAACGTGGTGACATTTATTAATGCTTATGCCTAAGGTATGGGTTTCACCAAGACGGTACTTTCTTTGCTAGTTTTATGGTCACAAATTATATACTCAAATTCCTTACTCTATTATCACACAATGCCACTCCTTGATGAATGAAAATAATGTCGTTTGGGCGGATTGTGCTTTTTATTGTACTTTGCTGAAAAATAGTAACTATATTAGATTGTTTCCTCTTTTATGCTCCACACGTTTACCACAACTGATGATTTTAATTATACATTGAAACATTCCAGAAACTTCCTTATAACAACTGTTTCAAGAAAGAAAAATCTGACTGCTCAGTAATTAATAAAATACTATTTATATGGTTTATTTCATTACTTGGAACGTATTATGAAAAGAAATGTACATTTCGAGTAAGTATTACCATGCGACTGGCTTCATTTTTTACTTAAGAAACGCAAGAAAAATAGATCAATCTCTATGAGGTAGATTTATGGAAACTGTTAATGATGAAAATTTGAAAATACAGCTAAGTAGGAGCAACAACGACTAACCCAGGATTCTCGTTTTCGTAATTCCTTAATGAGCCACTAGAACCTTTCTGCGGATTAAATTTTGGGCTCAGAGCAGTAATTTACCAAACAAGATGCTCATAAAACATGGGACCATTATGAAGGTTCGTATTTTCTAATAAAAACGAAAACACAGCTTTATGATAAAGTAAATAATGGTGTGCACAATTCCCTGTTTTTACACAGCATTATAACTTCCAGTGCTGTAATGTTGGCGATTACTTTACATATTATTGGAAAATAGATGTGCCCTAATCAGAGTGTTTCAGGTTTTATTGTGTTACACAGATCGTTAATTGATGACTAACTGTTAATTTGTTTATAATGAAATAGCACTAAGATCGATTTCATGATTGCTTTCTTGATGTGGGATTATATTTCTGTAATTAAAAAATGGCTTACAAATAGATGTCATTACTGATGGAAGTTATTACAGCCCCACGATACTCTGTTGTTTTACCCAACGTGTTTCAAAGATCTCATTACGATTGCTTTAAACATATTTTTGTCACTTGATGCGCTTCATCTAGTACTGTCTATTGTTTGGTTCTCTTTAAGCGCAGCCCGGCATGGCCAGGTGGTTAGGGTGCTCGACTCGCAATCTGAGGGTCACGGACTCGAATCCCCGTCTCACCAAACATGCTCGCCCTTTCAGCTGTGTGGACGTTATAATGTGACGGTCAATCCCACTATTCGTTGGTAAAAGAGTAGCCCAAGAGTTGGCGGTGGGTGGTAATGACTAGCTGCCTTCACTCTAGTCTTACACTGCTAAATTAGGTACGGCTAGAGCAGATAGCCCTCGTCTAGCTTTGCGCGAAATTACAAACAAACAAACTTTTAAGCGCAAATCTGCACAGTTGGCTCTTTGCGTTGTGCAAATCGCAGGTACCTAACCCCGAATTTTAGCATTATAATTACTTGAGCTTACCACTGAACTACTTGGAGGGATAATTACTGCTGGACTAGTTACATGTTTTATTAAGTATCTTTCTACATAACTTATACAGTATATCACGATACATGTCTTCCTGGCCAAGAACTACCACATTTCTAAGAGTTTTCATTATGGGACTTTTTGTCTTTTTTAAAGAGGACTTCCTTTGTTCATGCAATTACAAATTAGAAGAAAGTTCGTTCATGAGAAAATTGTCCCATGAAGAATAAAATGTATGATTATAAGAGAGTATTTAAGCTTTTACCCGTTTGTCTTCTAAACTGTTTAGGAAGTTCTACATTAATTTGTCGTCAGCAATAAACACAAGCGTTAAACGATCCCAATCAAAAATGTCTGTTTATGTGAAAGCAACAACATTAGATACAAAGATCGAAGTTTTAATTTGTTCCTAGAAAACACCACAATAGATTTGTTTGTTTATTTTGTTGAATCTCGTGCAAAGCTATACGAGTGCTTTTTTCTACATTTGCCGTACCTAATTTTGAAGCGATAGAGGGAATGCAAGCTAGTCAACATTGCCAACTCTTGGACTACTTTTGTCAGACGAAAGAGTGGGATTTGAGCGTCACTCTTATAACGCACCAAGGTCCCTAAATGAAGAGCGCTATTTTTGTTGTTGTTTTGTTTTAACAAGACGCTAAACCGCTGAGCTGCTTTAGGCTTAGCAGCATTGACATATTTATTTGTCTGAATACTAATAGTTAATTGTATAAACCTATCAATTTGTAGTGAAGCCGGAAGCATATTTACATTGGTGTGGCAGGGAATGTTAATAAAACGTCACCAAAGTAAGAGACAAGGCCACTCCTATTACTACAGGTAATATTTATAGAGCATAACATCATTCAGTAACAAAAAAGTAAGCTTTAGAAACAAAATTGAACGGCCAAATTATTGGTGGACACCGGTTCCGGCGTTTACGATTTATGTCTAGTTTACGTATAAACTCATGGTCGTTTCGATTACGATTTTAAGATAAAGAAAAAAATATATACAAAATTAGGACAAGAACAAATGATTAACTGGAGAAATAAACAGTTTTTTTTATAACATAGGAATCATTAAGTTGTAAGTTTGACGTGGGCAGGTAAGACATTCATTTATATCAAGTGCCTTCAGTGCACAGTTGTATAGCCATGATAACCTACTTGCTAGTGGTTAAGTGGAGAAATAAACAGTTTTTTATAACATAGGAGCCATTAAGTTGTAAGTGTGACGTGGGCAGGTAAGACATTCATTTATATCAAGTGCCTTCAGTGCACAGTTGCATAGCCATGATAACCTACTTACTAGTTGTTATGGTTTATCCATTACCGAAGGGGTGGTTCGGGCACTCAACTCGCAATCTGCAGGTCGTAGGTTCGAATCCCCATCCCATCAAACATGCTCGCCCTTTCAGCCGTGGGGGGCGTTATAATATTATAGTCAATCCCCCTATTCGTTGGTAAAAGAGTATCCCAAGAGTTGGCGGTGGGTGGTGATGACTAGCTGCCTTCCCTCTAGTCTTACACTGCTAAATTAGGGACGGCTAGCGCAGATAGCCTTCGTGTAGCTTTGCGCGAAATTGAAAACAAATAATTACCAAAGGGCCCTTTTCGAATTTTCTTTATCTAGGACTTCCCGAATTTTTTTAACCTTTTCTTGAATGCCGGTTTGTCTCTGATACTTAACTTTTGACCAATCAGTTAATTTCGAATTATGGGTGTGGTGTAAGCAATATGTACATATCGTACTCACTAAAGTATGTATACATGTGTGTGTACAGGACGTGTGATGAACCAAGTTATGACTAATTTTTAGATAATATTTCATAAACAAACAATGTTTAATTAAATACATCGTTCATGGTCCATGATCTTCAAGTATCCAGTTATTTAAAAGCATGATATTTTCACTAACTCCATTCGGACTACATTTTATTTTGTTAATTAAGTAGTGAACACAAATAATAATATTGTTATACGAACCAAATGAACCACAATAATCTACTTCCTAAAATAATAAACAACACACAATGTTAAAATAGGTACACAATTAAAAACATTTTAATTAAGGTCAATAAAAAGTTGACTCTACATGTTTCGATGTTGCAACTCCTAAAGGTGACGTTGCAACGTCGAAACATGTACAGTCAACTTCTTAGTGGTCGTATATTGACCTTAATTAAAATGTTTTTAATTGTATATCTATTTTAACGTTATGTGTTATTTACTATTTTAATGTTATACACAAGTGCCAGAAAATAATACTTAATATGCTTCTTATTAAGAAGAATTCGAAGACTTACCTTTACACCTTCCTTTATAGGCGGCTTGAATGGACCGTCCACTCAAACAAGAAGTTCGGCGTAGCTCGCAGTAACTATTGTAAGTCGTATTGTCGGACCCGCAGACGTGGCGCGAACCGAGTCGCGGACGGCAGACCTTTTTACAACGGACACAGTGGGGGAGGCGGTTCTGGTCCACAACGCATGACTTTTTCCCAGGACATTTAACGTTCTCACATCCATTGTCTATGGTATGTAAAACAATCACATTGTGTATAAGTAATACGCATTACCTTATATACAGCTGCTCAATTCACTCAATAGAAAGAACTCATTTTTTGATCAGAGTATTTATTCCAAGTTCAACTGGAGCAAATAATCACAATCTTAGGAAATTAAAGTAGTATGTATTGTTGTTTTAGTTCAAAACATTCGACTTGATTTTACTGAAAAATGACATTAATTACAGTTCAAAGAAATACGAACGTTCATGATACATATTAACACTGGCAATATTTTGTATTCACTTGAAGCTTTGGTTGTAGATGGGTCAGATTTTCCACAGTAAAAACACATTAAAGTTTATTAAGTTACACAACATATAACTCGTTTGTTCTGCACTTAAGTAATCATAGTGTACCGTAAAAATGTTGTAGCAGTTATTGAAAGGTGTAAGAAGATATGATCTTCTTTCGAAATCACAGTTTTCAGTGTATTTATACAGGAAAAAAACAAACAAACAAGTCTTAGTATTTTTACTTATAAATAAGTTATTAATAAGAATTACTCCATATGGGGACGAGTTCAGGTTAGCGTGGACATACAAGAAAATTCTGTTGTTTCGAGAAATGCTGTTAGTGCTAGACCCTCATAAGTAAGAGCGTTTTTTATACCATTTAAAGACGTTTTAGCCTTCCCCTCCCCATTCCAGAATTAAATCTTTTCTAGTTTTAGCCATAGTGATAATGTGCCCTGGAACCGTCTTCCAGACACACAAAAACAATTAAACTAGTTACTATAAAACATTTCTTCAAATGTTTCCTGGGTACTTTCCGAATAATCACTATAATTTCTTTAATAGTTATGGTGACCGGAATGTCTATCGTCGCCATGGTTACTAGTAATACTTTGTCGATAGTATATACATAAGCCACCAACCATGGTAACAGCTTATACTAAACCGGAATATGCATATTTCCCTCACCAAACTTAGACGAAAATACTTTTAACTTTGATTCTTTTTTTTTATTTGTTGTGGTTAGGAAACTATCTAACCTGAAAAGGACGGACACACACTGCGTTCGACGTCGCCTAAATAGAAAATTGATGACGCTCGAACAGCGGCAGGTATACACTTCGAGTCTCTCAATCAACCTTTGGGTTTGTAACTTGTCACCTGCTTGATTCTGAATTGCTCATAAAATCTAAAGATATATTACTTACGTCCAAAAAGTTGTTTGAATTAAAACTCCTAGAGATTGATAAGTGTTTCTGTACGTTAATCTGAATTATATAAATTCCAGATAGCGAGGCCGAAACGATTGACTACCGCACATAAACGACAGACAAACAAAATTAGGGTACAAACCAGGCTACACTATGGGAAAGGTAGAACGTGCCCTAGGAAGAGTGGTGTCTAGGAACAGGACTTAAAAAGCGACAGGAATATTCTGTCTATCAGACTTAGCTACATGTATATGTACGCAACCAGAAAGTTTCTTGTAAAGAGACAGAAAATTAAAATAGATAATTAAAAAATAAACAGATCATTACAGACAGACGTATTTTCCGAAGTTGGTATTACACCTAGCGACAGAAAAATTACATAAAAACCCAGTTATTTGACGAAGCTTCAGTGTTAATTAAGAATTAAAGTCGACAACGCAGACAGAAACATCTATGTGCTCTAAAATGTCTAAGAAATATTCTACCTTATTTTGTGTGAAATATGAACTGGTTAAAAACACAAAAACGAACTACATGGGCTTGATTACGCGATTCCTGGAAGAATCTAATGAAGCACATGCTCAGCCAAGTGTATTCACGTGTGCTGAATCACGTGCGTCTAAGGTGGTTTAGGCGCTAAAAAAACTTACATTCTCATAGATTGACAATGACTGTTGTAGTCTACAGTACCTAACTTGCTTTAATACGTTCGTACATTGACAATGACTGTTGTAGGCTACAGTATCTAACTTGTTTTAATACGGTCGTACATTGACAGTGACTGTTGTAGTCTACAGTACCAAACTTGTTTTAATACGCTCGTACATTGAGAGTGACAGTTGTAAGCTACAGTGTCTAACTTGTTTGAATACGGTCATACATTGACAATGACTGTTGTAGGCTACAGTACCTAACTTGTTTTAATACGGTCGTACATTGACAATGACAGTTGTAGTCTACAGTACCTAACTTGTTTTAATACGGTCGTACATTGACAATGACTGTTGTAGTCTCTGCAGTACCTAACTTGTTTTAATACGCTCGTACATTGAGAGTGACAGTTGTAACCTACAGTATCTAACTTGTTTTAATACGGTCGTACATTGACAATGACTGTTGTAGGCTACAGTACTTAACTTGTTTTAATACGGTCGTACATTGACAATGACTGTTGTAGTCTCTGCAGTACCTAACTTGTTTTAATACGCTCGTACATTGAGAGTGACAGTTGTAAGCTACAGTATCTAACTTATTTGAATACGGTCATACATTGACAATGACTGTTGTAGGCTACAGTACCTAACTTGTTTTAATACGGTCGTACATTGACAATGACTGTTGTAGTCTCTGCAGTACCTAACTTGTTTTAATACGCTCGTACATTGACAATGACTGTTGTAGTCTACAGTACCTAACTTGTTTGAATTCGGTCGTACATTGACAAT